AGAGTTGGACACGGGTAGGTTGTAGAGGGTCGGCTCTGCTATTAGATACAATAACCGACCCTCAGCCGCCCGGTTTAAGCCCTCTTCTTAACACCAGCACATAGTATTACACAGATAAGAGTTTTGCAATATTAATCATAGGAAAGTTTTACATTTACTTATACAGTTGAAATAAAGCTGAATTTAAACAAAGTTGAGCTATAATCAATTGTGCTTATAATTATGCAAGCGTTTAAAGTTGGACACGGGTAGGTTGTAGAGAGTCGGCTCTGCCATTAGATACAATAACCGACCCTCAGCCCCCGGTTTAAGCCCTCTTCTCAACACCAACATATAATTTTACACAGATAACAGTTTTACAATATTAATCATAGGAAAGTTTTACATTAACTTATGCAGTTGATATAAAGCTGAATTTAAACAAAGTTGAGCTATGATTAATTGTGCTTATAATTATGCAAGCGTTTAGAGTTGGACACGGGTAGGTTGTAGAGGGTCGGCTCTGCCATTAGATACAATAACCGACCCTCAGCCGCCCGGTTTAAGCCCTCTTCTCAACACCAACATATAATTTTACACAGATAACAGTTTTACAATATTAATCATAGGAAAGTTTTACATTAACTTATGCAGTTGATATAAAGCTGAATTTAAACAAAGTTGAGCTATGATTAATTGTGCTTATAATTATGCAAGCGTTTAGAGTTGGACACGGGTAGGTTGTAGAGGGTCGGCTCTGCTATTAGATACAAAAACCGACCCTCAGCCGCCCGGTTTAAGCCCTCTTCTTAACACGAACATATAATATTACACAGATAACAGTTTTACAATATTAATCATAGGAAAGTTTTACGTTAACTTATACAGTTGATATAAAGCTGAATTTAAACAAAGTTTAGCTATAATCAATTGTGCTTATAATTATGCAAGCGTTTAGAGTTGGACACGGGTAGGTTGTAGAGGGTCGGCTCTGCTATTAGATACAAAAACCGACCCTCAGCCGCCCGGTTTAAGCCCTCTTCTTAACACCAACATATAATATTACACATAGTAACAATGATAAAAATAGGAAAGTTTTATAATTACACATACAGTTGATATACGGTTAAACCTGAACAGGGGTAATCTATAGTGAAAAATGAATCCTAATATTAGAATAATGCGTAACTAGTTACACAAACGAGATTAAAAATATTATCATTCAGTGAAGTAGAATTATATAAAAAAATATAAAATTGTAGTAAAATAAGAATGTACAATAAAATGGGATTAAACTTATAGTAAAATAAAAATGGAATCAATATATTAAATTATGTTTAGTACAAATGATATTAACACAGTAAAGTGGGATTTAAATTTCCTATTTAATGAAAAATAGATAGAATAAATTTGAGATTAAGGTCTAACATAGGTTAGTAGTATTAAGTAATTGAGTCGAAGTTAAATATTGAATAGTGGGTATTATAATTGTAAAAAGTGTAAAAGGTAATATATGAATAGAGGTGACTTTATACATTTTGTACGAGTGAGGGTGGATTACTTGCAGATTAATTATTAAAGGTGAGTGTAAGATGTAAAATATCTTTGGGAGCATTGATAGAGCACACAAGGTTGGGAAGGGTTGTGTTGTTTAATAAGGGGTAAGGATTGTGGATGTTTTTGTGTTTTTGTGTAGATAGGTGCCCTAGAGGAGGTGCAGCGTGTAAAGGTCGTCGTGAATTTAATCGTTTTTAGTTTGTAAGAGGTTTTGTGTAGGCAGACAAATGCCCCAGTGAAAGTGCTGCGCGTTGAGGTCGCTGTTAATGTAAGTGTTTGATTCAGAGTGTAATTGTGTTGTTTAATGTGAAATTAGTGTTTTGTGTATGTTTTAGATGTAGTTAATTTTTGCCTCAACGCGGGCACGCATGGCTGTAACTTTGGGGCATTTGTCTGAGTCGGCGCGGTGTAGAGTGCCGGTGTTGGTGTTGAATTGTTTGTTATGTTCAGCGCAATTGGTGCAGTTGTGTACTTCAGCCTTGCACTCCGCTGTAGGATGGTGAGCGGAGCACTTGGCGCATGTGGGTGTGGTATTGGGGCAGCGGCTCTTTGTGTGTCCGAAATTTAGGCAGTTTTGACACTGCCTAAATGGTGAGAAGTTGTCACTATGGACCCGCTGCATCCCTATGTTAACTCTGCCTAGGTCGGCGAACGCCTTCCAGGCAGAGGGTGTTGTGTTTAGAACCGCGTTGTACAGTTTTTTTTTTTTTTTTTTTTTAAAGACAATTCACACCAATTGACCTAGTCCCATGCTAAGCTGGTGAAGCTTGTGTTATGGGTACTAGGCAACGGATATACATACATATTATAGATAGATATACATATAAATACATATTTAAACACCCAAGACCTAAGAACAACACCAAATGCTCATCACATCGATGTTCGCCTCAGCCGGGGATCGAACCCGGGACCCATGGATTCGCAGTCAGGGGTACTAACCACTAGACCAATGAGTCGTCAAAGTGTAGTGTTTCTGTTGTTAGCAATGAATTTTATAGTGAATGTGTGATTAGCTAGTGTGATGTTTTGGTCTTTTATTGTTTTAGTAAGTTCAAATTCGGGAATTGTTTTCTTTATGCCTTTTAGTATAATCATTGGGTCTAAGCGCTTTTCTTCTTGAGTGTTTATTTTTGTGTTATTTTGTAGTCGTGTAAGTGTGTGTAGTTTGTGCTCTTCTCTTTCGAAAACGAGTTTAATTTTGTGTTTTGAAAGCGGGGTGACCTTTAAAGGGGCGTATCCGCCCTCTCTGAAATTAACGGTTCTACTGATTTGTGTCAGTATCTGTTCTGTTGTGTCGAGACCCTCTCCGGACACGATGATGGAAGGCCCTGCAGGGGGGTTTGGGCGTGGCGGCGGCCTTAGCGTAGGATTGATGAGTCTTATGCGGGTCCGCCGACACTGGTTGTATCTCCGGCGGCGCGGGTTTAGGGGATGCCTTAATAACCCTGGTGTGTTCCTGCAAGGCCTTATTCGATTCATCGAGTAACCGAGAGTGGGCCTCGAGTTTGTCTAACAGTTGTTGTTGTGTGGTGTCTTTAGTTGGTGTAACTGTTGTATTGGTGGCCTGTGTCGTGAGGGGTTTGGGAGGGGAGGGGATGGAGGGGTCGAGCATGGCGATGACTCCAAAGAGGCCGTTTATTGCCTCTGTGATCGAGGTTTTGAGATCACCCTTTAGGTTGCGGGAGGCTGATACTGCGTCCAAGCCTTTCTTTCTATAGTCTCTCGCCATCTCTATGTATGTAGACTCCGCAGGGGGAGTTGTGCGGGTGAAAGACGGGCTCAGAGTGTCCACTAGGGACCGCCTGGCGGCTGCTGTGGTCATGTAAGGTGACGGAATGTCAGATTTGGATGTTTTGGGAGGGGTTCTGGGTAACATGTCTGCGAAGGGGGGTGAGGGGGGGCTAAAATGTGGACAGGTGTATTCGCCTCTTCGAGCTGAGTTAATTGATACCCAACTCGAGGGGGTGGGGGTAGGGGGGAAGATTTTGGCGCGGTGGGGGGGGAAAACCTGTATTGTGGGGTGGAGGGGGGTTAATGAGAGGAACAATGTGCACTATCTTATAGAGCTCGCTAAGCCGGTTCGAATGAGCCCAAGCTCGATGGTATTAGAATAAAAATTTAAAAATATTATAATTCGAAAAATTTGGGGCTGGTAATCCACCCTACCTTGAGATTAAGAGCAGGATTGCTCAGCAGCTGTTGCTCGTAGGGCAGAGGTGCTTGTAGTTTTCTACTTGCCCTCGGAGAGGACAATCCAGTGGTTTTGGTGCTGGAGCTGTTCCAGCTGGTTCCTATCTCTAGGGGCTGCAGGCTGGGCGATAAAACCCCTGGTTTGGTCTCTAATAAATCAGCCCTTATTCCAAAAATTTTATATCATTTAATTGGGTATCAGACGATAGCCCTTAATGAGTACAATCTATTTAAGCTATAAAAACATGTGGTTGTCGATCCAAATTAAAAGTTATTCACCTTTTTAGGGTTTTTGCTCCAGATTATCTTCAATTTTGAGTCCTTATCCTCAAATTTTATGTCGAAATGTAGAGCTTAATTAGCTCTACAACACAGCACTATTTTTTGATTTTAAAAGTTATGAACACTATTTTTAAAATGGAAAAAACGGAAAATTTTAATGTTTTTTGAAAAAATAAAATATAAAACGTAAACTTAAAAAACTGAATTTAACACTAAAAGATAGATCGCGATAGCGCGCATCTAATGATATATCACACTGCACTAATATCTTACGAAATACCACTTTTAAGATTTTTAGAAACTTTTTAAGGCGCGGAGCGACGTGGATTTTGACTGTTTCGGGTGGCGTTTGGACGCGGACTGACTTGGTTAGGTTAGGTTAGGTTAGGTCAGGTAAGGTTAGGTTAGGTTAGGTTAGGTTAGGTTAGGTTAGGTTAGGTTAGGTTAGGTCAGGTTAGGTTAGGTTTTTTTTTTTTTTTTTTTTTTTTAACCCTAGTAAGGCCTACCTCCCCCGGCTACTTTATCGCCGGGGCCGTTGCATATCGAAGCTCCTATCAGTAAAACTACAGATAACTCGATTCTTTATTTGGGGGATTGTCAGGTTTGTTTTACATAGATCTCTTATCATTTACAATTTTTAACATATTTTATACTTATTCTATGTTACATTTTTCATTGCTTTATTTTCTTATAATCATTACATACTTTACGTGTATATACCATACTAACATTCTTATTTCACTTTACATCTATTACTTTCTTAACTTCGTAATTACATCCCACTTTCTATTATAATTTTCATTTTAATATTTTCCGGGGTTTGGAGGAGGAATTGGAAGAGGAGTTGGAGAGGAATTGGAATTGGAGTTGGACGGTTGTCGGGTGAGCTCGCGGCCGGGCTTCTCCTTTAATATTACAACAATATTCATGGGGGAGCTACGGTTGGTCGCATAACATCTCGACCCCCGCTTCCGCTTCCATTCATTTTTCTAGTTTTTCTGACTATTTCTTTGCAAAATCTCTCCAGTTGCAGCCTCGAGTCCTTCAGGATGGTCGGCATCTCGGCAATGGACATTGTTTTGCCCGTTTGAATTTCGAAATCGTACCTAGATAACCTCATTATTGGGCATTCTAATAACATATGAGTTGAGGTTTGTGGCGTAATTTGGTCACAGGGGCATGTCGCGTCGTCTTTTAGTTTGAATCTATGTAGATATTCTGCGAATGCCCCATGACCTGTTATGACCTGTACGGTTTGTTCCTCAAACATTTTGTCCTTTACTGTTTTATAAGCCACCTTTATGTTTGGCAGGAATTCTTTTGTTTTTGCTCCAGTCTGAGAATGGGTATATCGCGTCTGCCAGGCTTCTAGGGTTCTTTCCCTTATTTTTCGTTTTACTTCGGAGAGCGGCCGTTTATCATATTCTGGTTTTATTTTGAGTTTTTCGGCTGCTTCCTTTGCCAGCTCATCCGCTCTCTCATTTCCTGGCGTGCCAATGTGCGCCTTGAGCCAGTGGAGGTTTATTTTTTGGCCCCTCTTTTCCGGCTCTCCAATGGCTCGGCGAATCTTGACGACCTGGGGGTTGCAAGAGCGGCTGTGCGTGATAGCTTCTAGGGAAGCCTTGGAGTCGCTGTATATGTCTATTTTGTTTTTTAGTGTAACAGCATATTCTGTGGCGCTTCGCAGGGCTGCCAGTTCAGCCTGATATACCGTGCAGTATGGAGCTAATTTTATTTTCTTTGTCTTCACTTCTACCCCTTCCCGTATGTATACCCAGGCCGCGCCCACTCCGTTCGGAGTTTTGCTTCCGTCAGTGTATATCGCAGTTTGCACTGGGATTTCGGCATCGCTGTACTTGATGCTCGGTCGGTCCATCGGATGAGGCAGTTTATGGTATGGCGTGCGACTCTCGATTTGCTCATCGTCCGGGTCAACGTTTCGCTCTGTGCGCGCCTCATACAGCTCGGCCGCTTCTTTAATTCTCAGGTCAAGGGGTAGAATTCCAGCTAAAACGGTGGCTGCTCCGCATGAGACAGTTTTGTAGCATCTCGCTATTTTTTGTGCAAAGCTTCTCTGTATATTTTCTAGTTTTTTGCGAAGACAGACTTTACCTACTTCCTTTGCCCATACTGCGGAGGCATACATTATTATAGGCTCCACCACAGCCGTATATATGGTCGCCCTTACTTCCTGGTTTAGACCCCATCCCACTTTTGCAGTCCTACACAGTTGCTTATATATCCCGATCGCTTTATTGCATACATGGTTAACGTGCGCGTTGAAGGTGAGGGCCGAGTCCACTTCCACTCCCAGTATTCTAATGCTTTTTTCCATTTTAATGGGCTCGCCGTTCATACTGAGGATCGGGTCGTCGTACTTCAGCTTCCGAGTCACAACCATTGCTTTTGTCTTATGAGGCGCAAACCGAAGCTTGTTTTGGACTCCCCACTTATATACACGAGCCAGCACCCTATTTAATTTCATTTGAATTTCCTGCCCCGTTTCCCCTTCGGATATCAGGAGAACATCGTCCGCAAACGCCTGGACGTGCACTCCCTCCACTTGTAACTCTCTAAGGAGTGGGTCCAATAAAAGGTTCCACAATATGGGTCCACCGATCGACCCCTGTACACATCCCTTCGTCGTGTCACGCTCGACTGTATGTCCCGCGTAAGTAAGTTTTATTTTCCTTCCCTTGAGGTAATTGTCCATCACTTTTCTTAGGTTTCGTGGGCAACTCTCTTCCGCCAGCCGAACTCTAATCATAGGCCACCATGCGCTATCGAAGGCGCCCTCTATGTCTAAGGATACCACCGTCAGTATTTTCTTCTGTTTCAATTTTTCACGTATATGATTAACTGCGGTGTAGAGAGCGTCTTCCGTGCTGCGTTGGGGCATGAATCCGAATTGTTTTTTTGATGTTTTCGGTACTAGGTACCATTTCAGGCGCTCGACGACCATTTTCTCAAATATTTTCCCCATCACTGGTAGCAGTCCAATGGGTCTATATGACTTTGGGTTATCGTAGTTAGCTTTTGCCGGCTTCCTCAGGACCACTATTGTCGCTTTCTTCCAGATTTTAGGGAAGGTTCCCAGCTCTAGGCATTTATTAGCTATGGCGAGAAATAGACCCGGAGCAGCAGTTATTGCGTTCAGGGCTATGTCTGCCGTTATGCCGTCTTCTCCAGGAGCCTTCCTTGGGTTGAAGCTTTGGGCGGCATTTGTGAGTTCTTTCATTGTAAAGTGGGGATCATGGTTTGCATCATGCTCCCCTTCATTTACTATTTCTGCTTTTTCTCTAATTTTTCTATGCCCATCGTCTTCAGTTCTGGTGTCATCCTCTGGGAAGAATGTTTTTGCGAGTAGTTCAGCCGACTGTTTTTCATCTAGTTGCTTTCCCTTGTCCATGAGTGGTATGTCGTCTTTCCTTCTTTCCGTGCCTCTAATAACCCTATATATTCCCTCCCACATGGTTTCTCGCTCTTGTTTCTGGCAGTATTGTTTCCAGCTTTGCGTTTGTGCTTCATCTGCCTTACTTTCGTAGTTTTCCTTTGCTTCAAGGTAATCGTTAATTACTTTTTGTCTTCTACACTCGGCTGCCCATCTAATTCTTCTCTTCATTGTGACAACCCGTTTTTTAAGCCGCTCTAGTTCCTCAGTCCACCACGCCAGACCAGGTTTTGACCCTATTTTTATCTTGGGGATTGCGGTGTCGCTTGCTGCGATAACCGCGTCACTGTATAAATTTATTGTTTCTTCCAGTTTGTCTGTACTGTTGATATTTTGTATGGTTAGTTCAGTGATATGCTTGGTATTTAATTTTTCCGATAAGGATTCTTTGAATAGGGTCCAATTAGCTTTCCGTGTGTTGTATATTCTTGTCGTGCCCTTTCGCACCTCTATTTTGGCTTTTGTCATATTAATTTGGAATAGAATGGCGTTGTGATCCGAGGTTACTATGTACGGGTCCACTCTCCAGTCCTCCACGTGTCCTAGGAGGTCTTGTGAGCATGCTGTTATGTCCAGGTGGCTGGCGATTCGCTTTCCTCTCCGTGTAACTTCAAAAGTTGGCTCTTGTCCATCGTTTATAATGTGCAGGCCAATTTGAGCCACTGCGTTCTCGAATGCTTCTCCTCTGTCGTCGGCCACTGGACTGCCCCACCACGGGCTCTTCGCATTTGCATCTCCTCCTAGGATTATTCTCTTCCGAATCTTGCTAACGACCTCGTCCAGCTGTTTCAGGTAAGGCTCTATGGGTTTTGGGGCCGGCTCCATGTAATATGAGACCACCGCAATGCCAGGTCCCTCTGCTGTTTTTATTTTTATTGGCACTGTGTTGGCAGTGGTTATCTCCGGGTATTGTATTATATCAATACCCGCGTCGAAAATCACCACCGCAGCCTTTACCACTTCACCTGTTTGAGGTTTCTGACATTGCACTACTCTCACTCTTGGGTAGTCCTTCATTTTCCCTATCGCACCTATATAGGGCTCCTGTACTAAGGCTACTGCGATTTTTCTTTTAACTGCCTCTTGCATTAGTTCTTCTGTGGCTAGTCTTTTTCTTGGTTAGGTTAGGTTAGGTTAGGTTAGGTTAGGTTAGGTTAGGTTAGGTTAGGTTAGGTTAGGTTGTTGTTTTTTTTTTTTTTTTTTTTTTTTTTTTTTTTGCACCTAATAGGCCTACCTTCCCTGGCTACTTTATCGCACAGGGTCGTTGTCTAAGCTAAACTTCCATCATTTCTATCATCCTTCCTCTAAATAATGTACAACACAGCTTTATTCTTTATTAGGATTTTACACCTATCAATATCACAGTTCCGGTTACACTTTTTATTTTCCTACTTATATCTATCTCCTTACTTTCTATTTATCTTTACATTTCTATCACAGTCAGTCTCTTATTTTCCTACTTTTATCTATATCCTTACATTAATTATTTTCAACACATTCCTATCCAGAGACGGGGCCCGCGACGCGGGCGGCTTTTACTTTTCCGTGAGTATTCTTATAATACTTATTGGCAAGTGGGCGCCGGCCGCCTCGCGGTCCCCGCCCCGGCCTTACTCTCATTGAACTTAGCTGTTCTTTTGGTAATTTTTTGGCAAAAATCCTCCAGGTGCGATCTGTTACAGACTAGCATGTCGGGCAGTCCCTGAAGACTAAGCGACATGCCTGTCATCTGTTCCAGGTCGCATCTGGAGGAGGCAAAAATGGGGCACTCCAAAAGTAGGTGTGGGATGGATTGTTCCACCCCACTCTCACATTCGCAGTCCGGTTTTTCTTTCAGCCTGAAACGGCACAGGTACTCGGCAAAGGGCCCATGGCCTGTGAGGACCTGTGCCATCCCAGGACTGAATCTTCTCTCTCTTATTTGCTTCTGCGCAACTGCTACGTTCTTTAGGAACAGTTTTGTTATTCCCCCTGTTATCCCTTCCTTGTACCGCCGGTCCCATTCCTCGATCGTTTTTCTTCTCACTTCTTTTCTAATGTATGACAGTGGGTACTCTACGTGGGCTGCTCTGACCTTCGAGGTCTCCGCAGCGGCTCTCGCAAGTTCGTCCGCCCTCTCATTCCCCTCCGTGCCGACGTGCGCTTTCACCCAGTGGAGTCTTATATTTTGGCCCTTTTTTTCGGCTCTCCACCAGGTGTCTGCGGATCTCGACTACTCGGGGGTTTCGAGAGCGCCCGCCCGCAATCGCCTCGAGCGAAGACCGCGAGTCGCTGCAGATATTCACGTCAGTACCCATTGTCATCGCCTCCCTTACTGCACCAACGAGAGCTGCCAGCTCTGCTTGGTATACGGTGCAGTAAGGGGCCATCTTTATCTTCTTCCATTTCTTTTCACTTCCACTCTCCCATTTGGACCAGGCGGCACCTACTCCTTTCTCCGTCTTACTTCCGTCTGTGTATATAGCCGTAGTGCTGTCATTTTGTATTAGGCCAGGGTCAGTTGTGATGGCGAAGCTAATATCCGGTTTTTCCGCGGGATGAGGTTGTTCTAAAGCAGGTACGGCTCGCTCAATCCGGTCTCCTTCGCGTATGAACGGAGACGACCCCCTTCTGGCCTCAAACATCGCGGCGGCTTCTTCCACCCTGAGGTCGAGGGGCAGTATCCCCGCCAATAGCGTCGCGGAATTTAGCGATGCCGTCCTGTACGTCTTCGCTATTTTTTGTGCGAAAGCCCTCTGCACCGTCTCCAGTTTTTTCCTTGTACACAGTTTCTTAACTGTCGGTGCCCAGGCTGCCGACGCGTAAGTCACTATCGGCTCTATGACGGCTTGGTATACCTGGTGTACCATGTCTCCCGTCATTCCCCATTCCAGCTTCGCCATTCTTGCTACCTTTTTATGTATGTCTGCCGCCTTTCTCGTGACATTTTGCACATGCTTGTTAAACGTTAGCCCATCGTCTATCGTCAACCCCAGTAATTTAATCTCCTTTTCCATTACTATGTCTTGTCCATTCATTCTTATTCTTGGAGTATCGAACTTCAACCTTCGCGTCAGGACCATTGCTTTGGTTTTTTGTGGCGCGAAGTTGAGCTTGTTCTCGATACCCCACTTCCTCACATACTCGAGGGCAACGTTTGCTCGGTTTTCGATGGAGTGCGTGTCCGTTCCGCTGAACATCAGCACAACATCGTCTGCGAAAGCTTGTGCGTATGTCCCATCCTCTTCTAGTTCGACCAGTAGTGGGTCGAGCAAGATGTTCCAGAAGGTGGGCCCGCTAATCGAGCCCTGAATGCATCCCTTTTCAGGTTGCCTCACATTCTCTCTGTTTGCGTAGCGGACCACCACCTTCCTGCCTTTAAAGTAGTCTTCCACTACCAGCCTAAGTTGCTTGGGACACTCCTTCTTTGCCAGTTGATACTTGATCGCCGGCCACCATGCGTTGTCGAAAGCCCCCTCGATATCTAGCGACACCATCAACACTATTTCTTTGTTTCCGATGTGGTTTCTCGCTTTCGTAAGGATATCGTAGAGGGCATCCTCCGTGCTTTTTCCTGGCATGAATCCGTATTGTCTCCTGCTCATCCTGGGGAGTAGGCTATGTCTTATTCTGTTGATTATTACCTTTTCGAGTATCTTCCCCATGACTGGCAGGAGGCCTATTGGACGATAGGATTTGGCGGCCGCGTAGTCCTCCTTTCCTGGCTTCCTCAGTATAACTATCGTGGCTTCCTTCCATAGATCAGGGAAGCATCCCACTTCGAGGCATTTGTTGAAGATGGCCAAGGGAACCTCCGGGTTCGCCGTGATAGCTGCGCAGCAGATATCCGCAGTGAGTCCGTCAGCTCCCGGGGCCTTCCTCGGGTTGAAACTTCTAGCAGTACTGATGAGCTCCGCCATTGTGATTGGCACTTCATCAGCACTACTTCCCTGCAAGCTGCTGGTCATTTCCTCAACCGTTTTTCTCATTCTTTGATGGATGTCATCATCCATCTCGCAATTATCAGGCGGGAAAAATTTCCGTGCCAGCAGCTGCACCGATTCTTCGGAGTTCAACGAAATGCCCTTCTCTATTAGCGTGGTGTCTTCCCTGATCCCTTCCGCCTTTCTTATTATTTTATATATCCTGTCCCATAAGCTTTCCCCTTCTTGCTTCGTGCAGAGTTTTTTCCACCCTTCCTTTTGAGCCCTTTCGATCTCTTCCTCGTAGGTCTTTTTTGCCTCCAGGTAGGCATTTACTACGCACTCGGAGAGAGTGGGAGCTGCGTATGAGATCCTTTTCTTTTTCCTTGTCATGTCCTTCTTCAGGGCCTCTATTTCCTTGTTCCACCAGGGTGGATTGAAGTTTTTCCTTTTTTGTTTAACTTTGGGGATATGTTTTTCTGCGGCTTTTATTATTGTTTTCGTATATTCCGTTACTATGTTATTGACCCTGGCCTTCGTGTCCAGTTCTTTTATTTTGTCTGTGTTTATTTCCTTATTTGTCATGTCTGTCCTTACCTTGTTCTTAAAATCCTCCCAGTCTGCGTTTTTCGTATTGTATTTGCGGGTCGTCTTCGGTAGGTTGTGCGTTTGGGGTTTTTGAAGGGCTGTAGTCATAAAAATCGTGTTATGGTCTGAGCTTGTGATAGAAGTATCAACCCACCATCTCGTTACCTTACTGAGGAGGGCCGTTGTGCATACTGTGATGTCTACTACACTCGTGTATCTACGGCCCCCCTCTTACGGTGTCGAAGGTGGGTGTGTTGCCACAATTTAGGATGCTCAGCCCTTCTTCGTCAAGGAACCCTCGTAGTTCCTTTCCTCGTGTGTCTTCGTTTCGGCTCCCCCACCATTCACTCCATGCGTTCACGTCCCCTCCAATCAATACCATCTTGGTTTTAAGTTTTTTCGTGAAGCTTCCTAGTTGTTCGAGGTATGGTTCGATGGGTTCATCGCCTTCGAAGTACACTGAAACTACCCCTATTTCCCACTGGTCCGTTCTCAGGACGGCAGCCACTATGTTTTCCGTGATAAGTGACTTGTCTTGAAGGACTTCTATGTGTTCGTCGAAAACAAGTATCGCCGCCTTCACCGGTTTCTCTCCAGTGGGTACGCACTGCACTACTCTGTACATAGGGCTTTCTGCCATCTGTTTACTGGCCCCTATGTACGGTTCCTGGAGTAGTGCTATTTTAACGTTTCTACCGCCCGCTTCTTTTATAAACTCCTGGATCGCGATTCTCTTTTTTCTAAGGTTCGCTTGTGCCAGGAGAAAGCCGGTAATATTGTTGGTGCCCTCGGCTTTTTTAACAATACGCGTAGCTTAGCCTCGCCGCCTTGTCCCACCCCTGCCGGGTTGGACAGCTCTGGCTGAAGGCTCCGTGCTCCGCGTTTCTTCCCTTAGTGTCTTTGCAGTTTATGCAGCTGGGAGGCTTTCCATCCTTGTGGATCTGGCAATCCGCCCTCATATGGGCTCCTCCACAGTGGCTGCACACCTCGGTCTCCTTTTTACAATGTCTTCGGGTATGTCCGTACCCCAGACACATAGTACATTGGACCAGAGGGGATTGGTCCTCTACCCAAACCCTCTGCAGGTCCACGTGTATCCTGCCAGCCAATGTTAGAGCTTGCCAGAGTTTAGGCGTGACCTGTAGGACCACGTGGCTCTCCAGAGGGTTCCTTGCCTTCCTCCTGTACTTTTCTGTTATATCTAGGTCCCGTTCCTCCAGGTGTGCAGTCACATTTTTGTTTTGGTTTTTGATGGCCCGGGTAATGTCTTCTGTCGTGTTGCAGGACAGGAGATTTTTAATTTTAATTAACGGGTTTTTATTTAAGGTGTCCTTCACCATCATTTCTTCCCCTAATTTTTCTTTGATTTTATTCCTTTCCTCCTCCGTCCTGCATCCCACTACGACCTTCCCGTCCCTGGCTCTTCTTATTTTTGCTACCTGCCAGCCTTCTTCTTTTGCATTTAACAGATGCCGGATGTTCTGCATCGTGTCCTCTGCCGTGTCTGTCGCACTCTTAGGCGCCACAACGACAGAGTGTAGCGTAGGTTTCTGTCCTCCCGGGCCTTCTTTTCGATTTTGGCCCTGACCGAGATTTTCCTTCGTCGCTTCTGCATACGACCTCATTTTCCTTTCCCAGATGTTATGCCTTTCTATTTCTCTCTTTTCTTTTTCCTCCAACTCTTTCCTAATCTCGGTCAGGATGCTTTCATTTTTCTGTTTTGCCAGATCCTCCATATTTTTTCTAAATTTTTCCAATTTCTTGTTCTCCATTTCCATTCTTTCTATTTGTTTGTGTAGCTTTTCGTTTATATCTATTTTTGCTTCATTTTTCTGTTTGGGTGTTTGTTGTTGTGGGTTCCTCTGTATCTCCTCTTCGGCCTCTTTGACTATCTGGTACAGCCGCTTGACAGCTGACTGTACCCCTGTTTTAATATCCGTTTTTATGTTCCTGGACTCCGCCAGGTGCGCCATTGCCTTCAGATAGCAGTTTTTGGCTTCTTTTTCCCTGGCCAGAGCGGGAGCAGGAGACTTACCTCCTCCACCCGCCCCGGTCAGGGAAGCCTCTTTTGCCACCTTTGGGGCCTGGCTAGAGGCCTCCTCCCACTTATCGATGCTGCGCCTGATGGCAGGCGCCGATGACTGACTTTTCGGTGGAGTACGTAGACCCAGCATTTTGCCTATTAGGAATTGTCAGTGGTAAAATTTAACGATCGTTCAATTGAGTACTTAGTCTAAGGTCTACCCCCAATAGGGTGGTAGCCGTGTCAATAATATATTATTTAAATACAATAATTTAAATTATCCAATAAAACTTATTCTAGGGTCTACTCCCAATAGGGTAGTAGCCGTGTCAGTAAATTATTATTTATATACAAAATTTAAATCTACAATAAAACTTATTT